TACCTTCCTACCTTAGAGCATCTCTTAAGACTACTTAAGGCATAACAATTTCACAATCCAACCTTAGGATCAATCTTAACAACATTTCATTTGATGACCAACTAGTGTCTTAATACTAGTCAAATTAATTGCAACAAACCAAGTTCTCAACTCATAGTCATATAGACAATTCCAACTGATTTTCCATTGAAAATATCATTTATCTTCAATATTCAAAACATCACTTTTAATCACTCATATATTCTAATATGAAGTAAAAAGTATATTTCAACATATGTTTCATAATTAATTCCACTTTCAAGTTAACGTACTCATAACACATGATCATACACAATTTACTCTTAAATTTGTATATAATGCTCCTTTTCTCTATAGACATTAGTCTTCTCATTCTTAGGCATTATTAATCATTAATAATCCATAAAAACACATTTAATTACCTTAGGTAACCTCATGAAATTAACTCACTAATTATAAGCAATATAGTCAGTCATCCTCACCTTATGATGTGCTTAACTAGCTGCCTTTGCGAAGCCCTTCGACCCGTCCTCGTTCTAGGCCGTTCGAAAGTGAAAATCTGGACTGCTGGGCAAAAGCCGGACGGCTTTCACGAAAGCCAGGCGGCTTTCATAGTCTGCAACTACGAACAGCTCCTTTGGAGTGGCGGTTTCCGGCGATTTCGACTCCTATCGATTCACCAACTCCTCTAAGTTAATTGCCACTACTTTATAACAATATTCTACACTTTTAAACGTGTAGAACTCATGGTTCAATCCACCATATGATTTCTTACAAATCATACACCATAAAACTAGTTAAAAGAAGATGGTTGAGTTCTTACCTTCTTCCTAGCTAGTTTTCCACTGGAATTTGCTTGCCTCTCACTTCCTCCAAGCTTGAACTTGATGAGGAGTTGCTGGAGCTTCTCTTTCCCTCTGGGTTGGCCGAATGATTGCAAGGAGGTGGTTGAAAGATGCCCTCCCAATCACCCATATAGTGTAGGATAGGACATGGGGCATGCGTTTTTGTCTCAAGGAGACTTCTCACCCCCTCCTACATACTACTTAGTCAAATAACACACATAAAAACGTGGGGTGGCCCCCACTTATGTGGGAGGTCATCCCATTATGTCCCGGTGTGTACAATCGGCCCCGAAAGTAGTATTTCTCGGACTGCTTTAATTATATTTTATTTTATCGGGCCAAATAAAATATATCACGCGTTCTTAATAATTATGGGCCTTTAGAATAGATGTACATTCCCCAACATTAATTTGGGAGTCTCCGAAACTCACTTCGGGCTGTTATCCGCTAAATTACCAATACTGGTAATTGGGCCTCGTTTGACCCACCGGTCAACTCCATGCCCTTCCCATATCCCAATTAAAATATCCACCACCATATAGATGTCATCTAGACCAAGATGAATATAATATGTGGTTCGGGAATTATCGGGCGGTCCTCGTTCCCGCTGTGGGCCCCACATGCAATTTACTATCCACGTAAAAGAAATGATAAAATTTAACAATTACGTAAATTCATAAATCATCCTTCAAGGTTTATTACATAATTTACTAAAAGTACACATGCTTGGGGATGATGTCACATTTGGTTCCAGAAACTGACTTCTGTTCTTTATCCTGCTGGATTTAAACAAAGTAAATGTGACCCATCTCTGCTCATTTTTCTATCCTCAGATATTCACATCTACATCTTGATCTATGTAGATGTCATCTTGGTCATTGGAAATAATTCAGCTGCCATCCAACATCTTATTCACAAGTTGCACTCCTCCTTCTCTCTCAAAAATGGGAGTTTACATCTTTCTCAAACCAAATATGTGAGAGATCTTCTACATAAAACTGGAATGCTTGATTCTAAAGGAGTAAAAACCCCCATGGTCAGCAGCTGCAAACTCACCAACTCTGGAAGTGATACTTTACCTGATCCCTATACTTACAGATCCATAGTTGGGGTTTTACAGTATGCTACTCTCACACGACCAAAAATTAGCTATGCAGTCAGTAAAGTTTGTGAATTCATGGCCACACCTCTACATGATCATTGGAAAGCAGTCAAACACATTCTTAGATATCTCTCTGGCACTATACATCATGGCATCATCATCATCAAACCTCTTCCTCTTCAAACTACATCTCTACCAATCTCTGCATTTTGTGATGTTGACTGGACATCTGACCCTGTTGACAGAAATCTACCTCTGGGTCTTGCATCTTTCTTGGCCCAAATATCATCTCTTGGTGGTCCAAGAAGCAATTAAGAGTGGCCAGATCCTCAGCAGAGGCTAAATATAGAAGTCTAGCAGACACAACAGTTGAAGTTCTATGGATTCAATTTCTACTTAAGGAACTTCAAGTTCCTTTTGCTATTCCTAGAGTTTATTGTGACAATCTCAGCACAGTACATCTAGCACACAATCCTGTGCTACACTCTCACATAAAACACATGGAAATTGATCTGTTCTTTGTTAGAGAAAGAGTTCAGTCCAAGCAAATTACAGTATTCCATATTCCAGCTCCTTATCAACTTGCTGATGTTCTCACAAAACCCTTGACTGCCTCATCCTTCCTTGAATTCAGAACCAAACTTAGTGTGATTGATTTGGAAAATCAATCACCCTAATTTTGAAGGGGGGATGTTAGGAATACTATATGCACGATCTTCTGTAATAGCCTAGTATTAAAGTCTAGCTGTTATAGTTAGTTAAGCTGTACTGTTATCTGTTATAACTCGGTTAGAGCTTCAGCTGTTATAAATACTCATGTACTGGTATTCGGTTAATCAATGAAATCATAATTCTTCTTCTTCATTTCAGACTGTTACTTTTCTAATACCCCACCATCCCACTCCTTGTTCACATCTAGTCATCACATTCATCCTCCTTGTCCTACTGCGATAAAAATGCAACCTATCCTCATTCATTTGACTAAATTAAATATTCTGTCAAACTAAGCAAAAAATCTTAATCAAACATTAAACAAACAAAAAAATAAAACTAAAAAATAATAAGCTAGGAGGTTATAAAACTAACATAAGACATAAGAGATAAAACTAATAAATAGTTCAATATACATATTATAAAATATACACATACATATTACATGCATAGTATGATAATCTGTAGCTTATAATGCATGAACATGTAGCTTCTGGTGCTAAGGAACCACATATTCCAGCCAACACATCAACAACCACAATGAAATAAAGATAAGGATTATATACATCACATATATAACATACATGTGGTTCCTTATAATCCTTATAAGGGGAAGACCAGAGGAATGACTTATTGATAAGAGAGAGAGATTGATTGCACTCTTGAGAAATACATGAAACCTTATTAAAATACTACTCAGAAGAGAATTGTATAGCCGCATGACACTTACGCGATGAAAGTAATCCCTGCGTCGGGTGAGACGTACGCCTCATGTTGTGTGCTTTTTTAAACAAAGTATGGGGCCTTCTAAATAGTTTAAAAACGTCTAAATATAGCGCATATGGTGCGCGCCATGGAGATGGAACATATATGGCGACACCATAAGTAAACGTGACGCCATACCCAGGTTTTGTGTTGAAGCCCTCTTCAAACGCCAATGGCGAAGCCCTCTTCAACCGCCATGACTACTCTGCACACGAATATTCCCGCTTCACTTTGCTCTCCTCAAAGTCATACTCTCACCCAACCCAAGAAGAAACATATTACTCCTGACTCATCTAATCCTGGTTTGTCTGAGTCTTCCTCTCTCTCTCTCTCTCTCTCTCTCTCTCTCTCTCTCTCTCTCTCTCCCTCTCCTCCCCGCCTCTTCTCCCCATCGCTAAGCTCGTCTACAATAGGTGTTACTCCCACTTTTTGTCTGGTTGTCTCATTCTTCAAGCAATCTTTTATAATATGTCCACACATCAAGTGCAACATGTGCATCTTAATCGCACTCATCTTTTGAACAAGACATTGTTTCACTGCTCAATACTCTCTGCACCATAGAGTAATGCAAGCCTAATTGTTATCCAATAAAACTTACTCTTCACCAACCTAGTCACCATATCTCAGTCACATAAATTCTTGACACACTCTTCCATTCATTTTCATCCACCATATTCTAATTTATGTAATATATCTTCATCTAGTTCACCATATTACTTAATAATGAAGCTCAAGTAACATAACACATCACTAGCATATGTCTTCTTACCATCTAGGATAATCTCACTGTTACCATCGCTTCTACATTCACCAAATTTGCCCTTCATATATTTAGTCTTACTTCAACTTAGCTTGGAACTCTTGTTCTTCAAAGTTTGTCGTAATACTTTCAACTTTGTTTTAGCACTCAACTGTGTCTCATCAATCAATACTATATTGTCGACAAACAACATGCACCATGGTATCTCTATGAATATAGCAAATAAGAAAGGACTTGGGACCGATCCTTGATGCACTCTGATAGTAATATGGAGCTCTGCACTCCTCCTTACACCAATACATGCACTTGTAATATAAACCTTATACATATCCATGATGATACATTTATGGTGATATAATTATGTGATATGCGTTTTAATAGTCAAGTCGCACCAAAGACTTCTCGAGATACCTTTTTTTTACTCCAGGGAGCGTCTGGGGGAGGAGGCCTGGGGGTGCCTGGAGTAATCAGAGCTGAAACTCACTCCATTGAGTTTTAAACTCTTATGTTCCTAGCGGGTTTCGAATTCGAGATACCATATCATATGCCTTTTCTATGTAAATGAACACCAAAAGCACATCCTTGTTAGTGTCTTTATACTTTTCCACAAGTTGTCTAAGAAGGTGAAAAGAATGGCTTCATTTGTTGAGCGATCAGACATAAAATCAAATTGATTCTCCGAAATCTTCACACTTCTTTGGAGCATTGGCTCAATCATTTGTCAAGGTAGTCAAAGTCGAAAGGCGCACTAAAAGTGTTAGGGCTCTCCTATGCCTAAGGTGTAATTAAAGCGCTTGCGTGACTCGGATGAAGCGCATTACTTAAATAATATCGCATACACTATTCTATAATTACCAAATATGATATAATGTAACATCATATTGATCCAAATGCATAAAAAACCATGATTCACCAAAACAAAGTCATCTTTCACAAAAACAAAACACCATATTTAGAATTCATGGCTTTAATAATAAACTAAACATAAAAGACGATCAAATTGGAGCCTTTTTAGTGTTGTAAATGAACTAAGTTTACTCCATTTTGTTGTTACTCCGAGTCATGTTCAAGAATGTGTTAAACACTCGATGCATTTCTCTCCCAGATATCTTGAGGTCTTGATTGATATGCCATGTGAACTCACTGGTTTCTTCCACCCATCTTTTTCAAATCCTTTGTAACTTCTGTCATCAGGATCATTGTCATAAAATCTCAATTTACCATACAATCTGGCATAGTAAGATCATCAAAGTTTAAAATTTATAATTTTCGCAAAAGTATATTACTAACAACTTAACAAGGATTGATCGGAATTTATCGACAACAAAAGTTAAAGATGGCTATCTAGAAAGGGACAAAGGTAGCATCTTTTTAGGTCACTATACATACTCCATCTATCTTTTTATCCAATCTTGTAGAACATATTTTTTCAGGTCATCTCGCATTTCATCATCATCTAGTATTATACTATCTCCTTCCCACTAGCATTGGTACATGAGGTAGATATTGAATCGATAAAGTAAGAATAATGTTAAAATGATTTAGAATCACACAAATTTTACCAAATTTAGTATGTGACAATCTTAGTGGGATGGACCGAAAAGGAAAGATGAGACAATCTTAGCGGCACAGAGAAAATAACATCTTTCATCTAGCCTTTCACTTTCCATCTAGATTTTGAAGTAGTTGCAGTTGTGTAAAAAACAAACCAAACATACCCAAGTAAGTCCATCTCAAAAGCAAGGGTTAAGGAAAACCTAAACCACAACATATGAAAAACTTTAATCTCATGAAAATCCCAGGATAGAGAGAGCATCTACCCTGTGGACTAGAGAAAATGTTTCCATCAAAATCAAGGCAAGGAAAATTTGGGAGTTAGGTCACTAAATTTGAAAATCTTATGCTTTTTTTTTAATTTTCAAGATTTACATTAAAAATTGAATTGAAGTAGGAAAAGGACAACCAAATGGAATGTTAGCATGAACTGTATACAAAAATGTATGGGCAATAAAGACAAGCTATGAAACGAGAAAGCGACGTCAAAAGGATACAGAGAAGTAGGTAGGCAAATAAGCAGATAAGAAAGTAAACAAAGTACTCCAAACGTCCACATAACGCACCCCTAACTAATGAACCAAGAAAGCTCTGAAATACCCCGTAGCAGTTTGCCAGTTTCTCTCAATCATACCTGCTACCCTAATCCATAGTCTACGAATCCCTGTCAGTGGTCATCCAGATATGTCAAACATACACTAACTAGACAAACATCTAGTATTGCCTATACCTTGAACATTTTGACTACTATTGGCAATATTAGCCTGCAGAGGATTAGCCATGGGATTCTGTGCTGATTTTGTCTCCATTGACAACAACTTTAAGGATATCTTCCGCAGATAATCTGACTGCAATAGAAATTAAGTTGATTGAAGAATGTCATTTGCGATGCATAGATAATCTCAGAACTCATAAACAAACATTTAACAGTTCAAGGAAGTTGACTAGATGAAGACTAAAAATAATGAATAACCAATACTTTGCATACCTGATTTGTAGCTGCAGCATAAATTTTTTCCTCAAACCTCACAGCAAATTTCTTAAGTTCTTGCAGCCCCTCTTGTCCGGAGAATGGATGATGTCGCTCTAAAGATACCATTCTATACCATCATATTCCACATATCAGTCAAGATGAGAATTGATAAGGATAACATCTCCAACTTTACAAGAGAACTATCACACAGGACATCATCACATGAACTGATATTACTCATATATTACCCACCCAACCCACTGAAAAATGAATCAGAACCTATGGTCATGATTCACGAATATAAGCCTTGAATTTAATATTGCTTAGTTTACAATAAGAACAAAATATTGCAGTTTTGGGAGTCTCCTGAATTATCATAGAGACTAATGTTTCAGGGGGGGTGTATTGTGTATGGATTGACAGAAAACGCAATAAATGTGGGTTGTAAAGCCCAAAGCGATTGTCAGCTCGCAACGCCATAAAAAATCAAAAGTCTAGCTATTAAGGTGATGAATCATCTAAAAAGTAGCTATGTTGTTGGGAATTGGGATACTAGCAGATAGTAAGATCGGGGAAATTAAGGTTTTTAAGAAAGTTAAATTCTAGAATTGGTTTCCAATTCGTATTGATAGACATATACGCGCCAAGCTCCCAAATAGATTTGGTAAGAAATTTACATCTTGTTAACGATCCTTTGCCTGGAATCCGGTTGAAGTTGGGCCCGCCAATCGCCCGTCTCCAAGGCTCCTGAAGCCGGTGCTGGTGCAGCCGGCCCAGCTGCTATGCCAGTGGCGTCACCACCCTGAGCCTGAGAAAGAGGTTGCGCCGCCCTCCAACTATTGGCATCCATGTCAACTTTTTCCTCAGCTTTGGGTTAATGATAAACACGAAAACTCTCCCAGGCTTGTGGTCGATACACTAGGGAATAATATTCTAATTAGTATCGATAAATGTGATGTTATAAATGTATTATTTTTAATATTTAATGGAAATAGGAACCTTCTAATAGGACGTCCAAACAAAAAGTAGGAACCTTCTAATGAGACGGAGGGAGTATATATTATAAAAATATAAATGTTTTGTTTTTAACTTTGCGCAATTCTATATCGGATTATATATTTGAATAAGTAATATTTCTATCTGAGTAAACTATTTATATTCATTTTTTATTTGTTTGACTAATTTCAAAGGTGGAGGGTCCCACCTTTTAAAAATCGATCAACATCATGATGTTTCTGCATTACGATCATATATATATATATATATATATATATATGATGGAGTATATGGTCCGGGAACCCCCGCCCCACAGACTCCTACTACTCCAATAAAGACCCAAAAGGCTCAGGAAGCACAACAGACCCAAATCACGGCGCCCAGAGTACCAAGCGGCCCACAATGCACACCAGGGGTGCCTTCGCCCCCTGGCCGAAGGCTCTGATTCTCACAGGAGGGTCAAAACAGGAAAACAAAGTTACTGGAAGAAAACGGCGAAAATCAGTAGCCTTCGGCACCTGGAGCCCTCGACACTAAGGAGGTCCCCGGTACTCAGAGCCCTCGGCTAGTCATCTACAACCGAGGGCACCTTTTCCGACATGATATCCGCTCCACATGCGTATGGATCACCGTACCAAGTACGACGTCACATCCAACAACCGCATTAAATGCGGCCACATGCGATTGCCAGCGCCAACCAGTTGAGGTGACCCCTCGGCCAATGGATGATTGACACGTGTCCCTATCTGGCATTTATTGCTGCTATAAATAGCACCACATTCCCCATTTGTAACCAAGAAGCAAATACGCTGAAAACACTGAATACGTTTCTAATATACTCTCTCTCTCTCTCTCTACTTACTTGCTCTGACTTCTCTCTAGTTATTCTCCGTAATAACCCCTCGGATAAGCTACCCCCCGGGTACACTATCCATCAATATATATGTGTGTGTGTGTGTTACATGACTAGATTTAGGATGTGAATGATATTTAGAATGTTTTAAATTGAACTGATTTCGATCCAGACAGGTTCAAACAAATTATATCAGATTAGACTAGACTAGATTTAAATAATACTACGTAGTAAATATACATTTATCGGCAGTTTACCAGACCTGACAAAATGTTTTTGTTTTAAATTTTTTACATATATGATATTGGTGTCATATGAGATATCATAAAAAGTTATTTAATTTGATATAATTTTTCTAAAAATAGGAGCAAAATTGGAAAAGTTATAACATTTTATAATTAAAAAAAGAATTATTTGCCACATGGCAGCAAGTTATTGGAGGGAGAGTAGTTGTAAAATTGTTAGGCGGATCTTGTTATCCTACGGGAACTCTATATTATTTTTAACTTAATTTTAACAAAATAATTTAAAAGGTCAAAATTGTCATGCCATGGTTAGATTAAGTAAAAATGGGGGTGCATAAAGCAACCCCCCATTTTATTGTTAAAATTGGACTTTCTAACCTGTTTTTAAAAACTTTTGTATTTGCACCTCAATACTTGTGGAAAGACAAATATGTCCTCCATCAACAATTCTGTTGGCCTTAACATTTCCTGATCGAGGGGTACCTCCATCAACTTTGTCCATTTCAGTCTCCACTGGTCTAGTAATTCTCGAAAGGGCACTTCCTTCTGCTGCCTGACGGTTAGAAGGTGGGAGAAGTGTTTCTTTGACCGGTGTCTCCCGGCGAACTACGTCAACAAATGTTTATGATAGATAGTATATGGTGGGATACCGCTAGTGGTATCTAGAGAAGTCAGAGCAATAAGTAAGAGAGAGAATGTGTGGTAGCAATAAATAATGAGTCGTCCATTACAACTGCCCCAAGGGGCGCTATTTTTACTAGTCATAAATGCTAGGTGCATCAAATGCACATACACGTGTAAGGTAGTCTATGGCGAAGAGCCCCCCCGATTGTGCGGGTGTTGTCACGTGGCACAACATTAAATGCGGTGGTTGGACGCTGGACAGAGAGGAGCTTATGTCAAGATGAGGGCCTTTGATACTGGGGCCGAGGTCTATATGACTGAAGGCTGGTGTGATGAGGCGATGTTTCCAGGTGCGTCGTTGGGCCAAAAACGGGGTGACGTCCCTGAGTTTGAGGCATTTGGCACTGGTGCCGAAGGCGGTCCCTTGTGGGATGCGGGCTGCATCGTACTTGGGTTGCGGTATTTGGGCCGTTTGTGTCCGTTGGGCCTATTTGAAGTAGCAGGAGTATGTGGGTCAGGGGATCCCGTGCTATATACTCTACCAAGAGTCTCCCATTCCCTTTGCCGAGAACTTCTCGAGGGAAAGGGGAGTTCTCTAAATTTGCTGAAGGCTGTCCTGGTGTTGTTGATTTTTGTGATATTTTGGATTTTTTCACTTTTTACCGAGGGGAGTCCCCCAGTCCCCCACTCCTTTAGGCCGAAGGCTTGTCCGGGGTGAAGGGGTGTTTGCAAATGTGATGACCTGAGGGCTGTGTATTCTCGTGGCCGGTGTGGGATGTCTGCTGGGGCCTGCAGGTTCTGCGAGGTGACCGTTGGAAAGTTACCATCGGAGAGGATCTACACGTGTTGCACGCTGATAGGCGCTCGTTGGGCGGTGTTCCCTGATCGGACTGAATCAACGGTTCGTAATGATGGGCTTTTAACCGGAGGCCCAGGTTTCGTGTTTAACCCTGGTTGGGACGGTTATAAATACCCATTGCCTGGTGTCATTTTTTGTGCATGTTTTTGAGTTGTGAAGCGAAGCTCTGCCAATTTTTAAAGATAGAAAGTACTTAGCTGATTTAAACAAAGTTCCAAGGTCAGTTCTTTTCCCGTTCTTGCCCTTTTCCGTATATTTTTCTTCCTTGCTTTAAATCTAATGTTAGCTCTCCCAATAGTTCCATTTAGCGTCTTCGCCCTCGATAAACCAGCCGAGAGTATGACTCCCTAAACATCTCTAAGTCGTCGTCGGCCCAGTCAGAGACGTGGATGGAGGAAAGGTCTTTGAGCCATCGGCCATCTTCGCATGCGGATTCAGAACTAGCCAAGGAGGTTGAGAGTCACCTCAGGACAGAGGCTGAAGCCGAGGACTTCGAGCAGCAGATGGAAGATGAAGAACTGGTCATGGCCGTTCAACTTGTCGTGGCGGAAGAGGAGAAAGAGCGCCTCCGGGTGACAGTCGTCGTCCCTTCTATGCGCGTTGAGAAAGTTGGCACATCTGAACCGCTTTGCCTAGATCCCCTCCAGGCTGCGCCGGTGAAGAAGATGAGGGTTAAAGGACCACTGAGGTGTAAGCAGGCTACCGTAGATGTTGGACAGCCCGTTGGGATACTCGAAGGTCACTCCTACTTGAACATAGTCGCCCTTGTGCTGAAGACCAAGGCTGATGATGGTGATTATCACGTGACCTAGTTATATGCTGGCCCCTCGGGACTTGTGGTAGAGCTCGGTCCTGATGATGTTCTCCCCCCCTCTATGGATGTTTTGCAGTGCATATCCTCTCGGTTGCTCTGGGCCTCCGGTCCCCCTGCATCCCTTTGTGCTAGAGTATCACAGAGTTGTGGGTCTTGCCCCTGCCAGCTCACGCCGAACAACCATTCGTACCTGGTCGGGTTCTTGTACATGTGCTAGACCTGGGGTGTGGAACTGTTGGTCCCGTTCACACAAGGAGCAGTCTAGAGGGGGGGTTGAATAGACTGTTCAAGCTAGTTTCAAACTTTTTGTCAAAGTCTTAACAGATTTGACAGAGGAGGTCGAGTTGTGATGACAGAACTGGACCTGGCAACGGATGATCTGGTAGGACATCTGGTCGGGTAGCCTTCAGAAACACACTAAGGCAAATGCCTTTCTGATAACTCTTAGGACAAGATCTGCTGAACACAAAGTCCAAGTCTTTAGGAGTTAAGCAGTAAAACTAAGTGCAGGAAAGTAAATGCGTAAAGTAAATGACACCGGGGATTTTATAGTGGTTCAAGGAACAACGTGTTCCTCTAGTCCACCGTTCCACTAAGCTTGCAAAAACAACATTTTACAACGCCTTAGTCTTAGCACTTAAGAAGCTCTCCTCGTCTTCTTCAAGCCTAGATGTCACCCGGGATGCAGCCCTTGCTTCTTGATGATTGGTCTAGTTTCACTGAGTCTCCTTGAAGTATCCCCACTTCACTACTCCAGTTACTTTGAGACGTCCCTTCTTTTTCAAGAAGTGTTTAGATGAAAAAATGTTTCTCCAACGTAGCTTCGTCACAAAGGATGTGTAGTTGATACTTTTGAAGTGTTGAAGAACTGGAGGAACGATTCTCTCACGTTGGAAAGAAAAGATATGGAGTTTATAATCTTTTCCAACGTAAAATCTTTTTGCTCTTGAAGAATGGAGGTTGTAGTCTTTGAGCGTTCGAATGTTTATGCTTGAGAGAGTATGATTTTGTTGAGACATTGTTAGAGTTCCTGTTCTTCGAAATGTATCTTTTATACTGCTAGATGCCTTCCCATTGGAGTGTAGAGGACATCTTCATTACATGCATGTACTGTTCATTTGACCGGTTGGTTTCCAAAAAGTAGCCGACTTGCTATTTTGGGGGCGATAAGATCTTTGCCTGGTCAATCATCATCTTTAAATATCTCAACGTGTGAAGCTCATTAAATGAGCATTAAATGCATGAACAATAGCTTCTTCCGTTGAGAGGCTCCTAGCCGTTAGGGAATATCCTATTAGTTTATCGACTATTTGAAGCACCTTTGAAAATTTCTAAGTGTAAGTAAGTCTGATGAGGTTCTCTGATAGCAACTCTGATGGTCGGCTCTGGTGGCACATGAGTTGTGAGCCCTCGTTTTTATGTGATTGGAACCTCCCATTTGTGGACTTAGCAAAGTTTTTGAACTTTTCCAAATCTTAGGTAATATAAGTGGAGCGGCTCC